CGCAGACCGGGGCTGTTGGTCTGCAGGCAAAGGAGGGCTTCTCACCAGGAACGGTGGCTGTCCATCCACCAGCCGGGCAGGCTGCGGGACAGCCAGGAGCTCCTGCTCCAGCCCTGTGCGGCTTCGTTTGTAATTTATCAGAAGGATGGGTGGGAAACGGGCTGCTCTGCGTCCTCCCCCTTCTGCTCATGGTAAATCAACGGAGCCGGGCTGAGATCCTGCCTTTAGCCAGCACTGTCATTTCCACGCTTGCTCGCAGCAGCCTGCTCTTGCTAGAGGCTGGGGAAGCTGGTGGCTCCCAGAGACAACAAATCCTGGGGAATTCATGATGGCAAGGAGCTGGTGGAAAGGCCACTGTGGGGGAGAAGCTGCAATTAGTAAGCAGCAGTGATTAGCCCGTTGCGATCATCGTGTTGCGGTCACGGCGCTGAACGGCTTGGGGCCGAACCCTCATGGGCAGCCGGCGTGAGGGGTCTTGGAGCTGCTGCCTGGCTTCTGGGGAGATGCTGGGGGTGCAGAGGGATCTGCCACCCCTTCCCTCCGCCGGTCAGGGGTCTCTGCAGCCATTCCTGGCTGGGCGTTGGGGAGATGAGCAGGAGCTGACATTCCCAGAGCATAGGGGAAATGTGGAACCAGAGAGGATCTCTGCTCCCAAAGAATTTCCAAGACATTTTGTGCAAAGGAATTAAACACAAGACAAGAGGGATGGGAGGCAGACACATATGAATTAGCGAGGTTCAAAGATGTTTTTCTCTGTGGAACCGGAGCCGGATGGGCAGAAGCTCCCTGCAGGGTTTCTATGATGCCCTGAGTCAGACGTTAATTTGTGGCAAATCTCTGGCAATGCATAAAACTGGGGAGCGTGTGGGAGGTGGAGGAGCCAGTCTGCTTTTCATACACTCGTTTGTCTTTTCACTAAATAACTTAGCATCCTCAGACAGCGTTCAAATAGAGCTGCTGAGCCTGACACGCTGTTTGCGATGACCGAGGTCCAGATCCCATAGGTGGCTGGGGATTAGGATCCCTGAGGAGTCTCCTCAATTTTCAAATCCATTCAGAAGAGAAGTGACTGTGCTTCTGGCAGAAGGAAAAAACTCTAAATTACTCTATATGTGATTTTTATCTTCTGCAAGAGGACGTAACTAGTGGTGTCCCTCAGAGGTCAGTACGTGGCCCAGTCTTGTTTAACTTCTTCATCAATGACCTGGATGAAGAGTTAGAGTGTAACCTCAGCAAGTTTGCTGATGACACAAAGCTGGGAGGAGTGGTGGATATACTGGCAGGCTCTGCTGCCATCCAGTGAGACCTGGACAGGCTGGAGAGCTGGGTGGAGAGGAACCTGATGGAGTTCAACAAGGGCAAGGGCAGGGTCCTGCACCTGGGGAGGAACAACCCCAGGCACCAGTACAGGCTGGGGCGGACCTGCTGGAGAGCAGCTCTGCGGAGAGGGACTGGGAGTGCTGGGGGACGACAGGGTGACCATGAGCCAGCAGCGTGCCCTGGGTGCCAAGAAGGCCAATGGGATCCTGGGGTGCAT